TTCGCGAAAGCGTTTTCCGCCAGAGGAATTTGCATATTTTTTTTTTTTTGGGAGGCGTTCGTACGCGCGGTCTAGGCTCATTTGGGGAAAATCTTAAAACAGGAGGGTGATACACGGGGTAGGAACGTATACCCAAAGTTTCAGCCTCCCAGCTTTCCTGGTTGCTGAGATGAAAGCGGGGACAAAATGCATTCGCTTCTGAACAAATACACACAGAGAGCCTTTCAAAAATATGTTTTTGCTGGCTATAGCAGCGCTATAGCGCTGCACAGCAAAAACGCATAATAAAAATTCGAAATTGTAATTTTGCACTTCACCTCACATTAAATACATCATCGATTGGTTTGTCCATCAGGCAGTTACTATTTGCACAAACTAGATCACAGGTGTACGTGATCGGAGTGGCGCGAATAACTAGACAGGCATGCACCTGCCTCAAGATCTGACTATAACGGCAGAACAGATTAGTGAGACAGCGTTGTTGCATTCGAATCGTCGGCGATGCGTCTGTGCCACATAGAGGATGTAGAGGCAGGACGCCACGAAAACCACAGTAAAGTCCGGGATGGCTGTGTTTTGTGTTTTGGTGTTTTGTGTGGAAGAGTGCTGAGAACTGTAGGTGCCTCGTACTGTGCTGAATGTTTTTTTTTTTTTTCTAGGTTTTAGCTGAATAAATATTTGCTGGTTTACTAACTCCATCATAGCAAGTAATTGTACTGTAAACTCGTTTTTGCGTTCTTCAGCCACTAACACAGGCAAACATGTAATGTGAAAATTCAGACAACCATTCGTTTGGGACTAGTTTTTATGAATAAATAATTGCTGTGCTCGAATACAGAAAAGAACAGTTGTACTGCATGATAACGACTTGTTAATCGATCTCAAGACTAACCCAGGCTGGAACGCACCGGACGGGTTCGTGCGATCATGAGTTTTTGCACCGGATTTATAGTACTCAGGTCATTAACTGCATGAATGGTTGTTGCTTTATACCTACCTTTTGCGTTCACTAGCATAAATCACCATAAATTTTGCATAAAGTAAATGTACAATTTCTATTTAACGGTCATTTTTTATGAGTTTTTGCTGTGCTGCTACAGCCAGCAAAAACGCACATTGTCGAGAGGTTGTCTATGTGTGTGTCTGTGTTCAGAAGCGATTGCATTTGGTCACCCACTTTCATCTGAGCAATAAGGAAAGCTGGGAAGCTGAAACTTTGGGTATATGTTCCTACCTCGTGTGTCACCCTACCCCGTTTCAAGATATTCTCCCACACGCGCCTAGACCCCTTGTACGGATCCCCGAAAAAATATGCAAATATCTTTGGCA